AGAATTCAGAGATCATTCAGAGTGATTTGTTTTAAAAGCAGTGTTAGCAAGATGCACTCCTTTAGAAATTCTCCTTGTTTTGGTACAAAGTACCTTTGACTGCTTGCCAATGAATAAAAAAATAGAAAATTTGAACCAAAGAAAGATCGATGCAACATTCAGTTTTATCTAGTGAAATAAAAGCTCGTAATGCCTGTAGGGCAGAAGTTGATAGGAGAGAGATTCTAGAGAAAGGCACTAATGTCCTTGTGCTCTTAACGTGAAAGATATTTATGCATAAGCATATCCCAACCAATTAATATCTTTTATATTACAACAAAGTAACAGAGCTAGACATTTAGATGTATGGCTTCTAAACGGTTCTTGGCACATGTCTTAACAAAATGCTTTACAAATGTTCATGATCATTTTAGAGAGGTTGTTACACAGAGTAGAGCTGTCCGCTTTCATCTCTTTGGATGAATATTTGCTAAAAATTTTGGCAGAAGGTGAAAGTTAGGTTGGTGGTTGTTGTTGTTGTTGTTTTCCAACTACTAGGAAGTGGAAACAATCTGTAAAAAGAAAACTGAAATTGAATTGAAATATCTTTTTATGGTATTTTTCAGACACATGTATATTGCCTCATTTTTTTTTCCAGTCAAATGTGGGCTCAAACCACTGTTGATCATTTGAAAGAAAAAGTTTGAACAATGCTGAAGGTGTAGGATCCTTCAGTATTTATGCTGTTTCTGAGGCTTGGATATTTTAGGGCTTAGAAAAAAATAACGTCTGAGAAGGTAACAAGGCATTGAATCATCTTCTCCCAGAGGTCTTTGAGAAATCTTGGCTATGCATTTACACTCATCTCTGTGCTATCTAGTAAGAAAGATGAAAAGTTATATTTAAAATAGTAATGTTGCTCCAGACAGAGAACAGTATTGTTGAAGATCACACCTGGACTATGGATTTCACTTATTCTAGTTAATGAGAACTATTAATTTCTTGAAGGAAGAAAATCTTGGAACAAGAGCTTCTAGAAAACTGTTTTCTAAAAAAACCTGGTTCTAATTCCAAAAAACAGTCAGGCTGCCATAATTTATGTTATTGGCAAGAGTCAGATTCATGACACCTGCAGTAAGAACGCTCTGTACGTGATACTGGGCAGTATCTCACAAATCATGCAGTTTGCCAGCTACCTCTCAAAGGAGAAAATCCTACACATAAATTTAGACCCACACAAGTTGTTCCTCAGTCTTGAGACTTGTGGATGAGACTTACTGATTCACTTTCAGGATCTAGCCAATACTTTGCCCTGGTAGTGCTCTTCTCTTAAGAAAACACATCTTAATAGCTTTGACAGGAAAGGTTCAGAGGTCTGTTTTGAAGAAAGCACAACACTAACCTGCCAATCTAGTTTATTCTTGAATGATCTTTGTATATCATTTTATAAGAAACTAATGTTTTCAAAATGGGTTACCACTACTTATATGCTGTAAATCAAATTTAAATGTGTGAGTGAATTTGGTTTGCATTTCAGGAGAACCTGTCAAATTTCAATTGTCAGCTGTAAGTTTCCACCTGATACCATGTCTGGCTGGGATGAAGTTAACCTTTTTTCCTAAGTTATAACTGGATGATGCTGGGTTTTGAATCTGTGACTAAAGCAGCATTGATAAACACACTGGTGTTTTGGCTCCTCCTACTCTGACTGGGAGAAGTAATGACCAGTTCGGATGAAAGACCAAACTGGCCAAAGGGATATTCTCTGACATACAGTATGATGCTCTGCGATAAGAACTGGGATAGTTGAAGAAAAAGATTTTTTGGCTTCTAAAGTATCCTTTGTTCAATGAGTGGCTGGACATTAGTCTGCAAGTGAGAAGTGGTGAGCAGTTTCCTTTACTTTGCAATTCCCTCCCTCCCCTCTTTTTTCACATATTAAACTGTCTGTGTTGAACCCTAAGCTTTCTTCCTTTTTTCTTCCTATATTTTTTTCACCTTGTACTGCTGAGAGGTGGGATTGAGTGGGGGAGTGCTTGGCAGTAAGGGGTAGCAGCCCACCACACATCTGTTATGCACTCAGGTATTGATTTTTCATTAGATTGAAAAGGTGACAGAAGAAATTGTTTAATCAGCAACCTCTGATTAAGCCACCTCTACTCAGGAAATGATAGGGATGGGTTCTTTCAGGGGGTCTTCTCCTTTTCTTTGCTGTCAGGATTCTGTAAGAGTTTGGATGTAAGAGGTGCTATAGTTGGTTCTACTGGGTGCCATGTGTCATCTGCTCTTTACCACTTACCATGAGTTATTGGCAATGTTATTAATCCTGTGATATGGAAAGAGACTTGTTTATGGGAATGTGTGGTCCCAGAGCGTTTTGCTTGTACTTAGCTGGGGTCATGGATAAATTGCAATTTGTTCTAGTTCGCTTTGGTAAACCTGTAGTAGAGGTAATCTTTTAATGTGCTGTGTAACGTAATCCTATTATAGAGGCATGCTTAAGAGGTCTAATAGCAAACAGGGCAAATTTTACTTTTAACAATTGAAAACATTCATTTATAGCTGTTGCTGACATTTCTCGTATGTCCATGTAGATTAACGGAATGTATGCATCCAGAGTCCTAGAAAAGGCTATTAAGATAAATAAGGTTTTAACTAGCAATGCACTTGCTAAATGTAAATAATGACCTTCTCTAAATCAGCCTTCTTTTAGAAATCCCAAAGTATGTAGGAATTTCATAATATTTTCAGTGATATGTTGATCTTATAGACCTCTTAAAGAGCTAAAAATTAACCAAGTGTGTTTCGCTTAGGACTGCCAACAAACCATTTGTATTAGTTTGAAATGGTTTAAAAAAATGTAATTTAGAAATTATATGGATGAAGTGAAATAATTTTACCGTCTTTATTAAGACGAGTAATCAAGTAATTCTTGATTCAAGAAAATCATTGATTAGATCACATTAAATTGAGCATATCATCTACATTCTACTACGTGTAGGGTAGTTATAAATATATATGAGATAACATCTTGGTTGAGGTCCAGTGTTGAAATGTTTCATACAGACAATGAGAAGCGTGGTTCTAAAGATGGACTTGAGTAATTTTTTGTCGAGAACAATGGAGTTTTTTTCTACCCATGTGGAATTAATTGCCCTGATGATCACTTGACATTATTTTTGGGTTTAAGCTGCAAAATATTTTTCCTAAGTATGAAGATTTTTTTTCAGAATGATCTTCTAAGGCTGACTATATCTTGAAGTCTGAAAGATTCTTTTTCTCACCTCCTTGCTGGATGTATAAATAGCCCATCCAGTTACTATAATCTTGTTCTCCTAATTCCATGCTTTCCATAAAAAAAAAAAAACAACAAACTTAATGTTAACAGTTTAAGGTTAGTTTGCTTTGGCATAGACCCAAGATTAGTATTACTCATCCAATTCATTTGTTGAAAGAATCAGAATGTCAGTTGTTCAAGCTTGTTTCAAAGATTTCTCTGTAAGGAATTTAGAAAGTCAACCCAGATTAAGAACTGCCTATTGTAATTAGAAGACTTACTTGCGTGGGAATTTTCAAATTCATATTAGTGTTTGTCTAATTACATATAAAGTAAACCCTAAAATGGTACAGAAAAAAAGAAGAGGAAATAGGAGAAAACTTTTGGCATTTGTTTGTCTTCTTGTTGCGAGGCAGGAAAACTGACATTTTCTCCTTTTTAAGAGGCTCTAATTAATGGTTTAAGTGATGGTTTCTAATTCTGAAGTTCGATTACTTTTTTATGATTCAAACTGTTTTTGTATGTTGTTTTGTGTGTGTGTGTTTCTCCCCGTCCTCCTCTTCATCTTTGTCGCTGCTGTTGATCCATGTAAGAAAACCTCTTTGGAAATTATTTGTTTCTGGAAACAACACAAAGCATCATTATGCGTAAAAGGATGGCACTTATTTGAGTGTGGATGTAACTAAAGCAAGCCAGGCTTATGCTACAAATGCAGTAAGGCATTTATTTTATTGTTTTCCGAAGACTTTTTGTACATCTGAATAACTAAGACAGGTAGCTGCCTGCATAAAGAATCTCTTGCCAAGTTGAAATGCATCCATAGAGAAAAAGCAAAAATCTATGAAAGCTGTCTTTCATCACTTTTGGTGTTGTGGTAATTCCTTCTGCATGTGTGTTCATTGTATCAAGCATCATTGGATTCACTGTGGCCTCTACAGACCTTGCTAGCTCTAGTTATGTGGATTTTCTGCATATGCTTAAAACGAGTATCAAAAGAACAGGGAATGTGTGAGGAAAGGAGACAAGCAAGAAACAAAATCTGTCACTGTGAGAAGAAACCATTTGTTCATGGGCTGCTGCCCCTGAAGAGACTTGTGGCAAGTGATGGCCTCATAGACTTTTGGTTGACTGATCTTACTTTACAAAAGTAAGATAAAATAAGGATGGGATGCTGGAATGTGTCATCTCCATACTTTAAGATACATTTTCCAAATATGTTATTTAGATAAAGTCTAGACAGCTGAAACCCTGTGAAATGTCCTTGATCCAAAATGACACATTTTATAAAGTAAATGTGAAAAAATCATTAAAAGGAACAGAATTAAGGTGGCTGGAGTATCTTCCAAAGCATTTTCTCCTTATTCAATGAAAACTCATTTTTATGGAGTTTTATTAGATGATATGTGGTTTTCTTCCAAAAGTACTGTACTTCAGTTAAAATTTGGCTCATATTACATTATTCGTTCTTTTCGGTTTTTACGTGGTCTAATGAATAAGATTGTGCCATCGTAAAATTCATTAATGTGATTTTAGATACTTTCTGAGTTTTTTTACAGAACAGATAAGTATTATGTAGGAAACGAGACAGATCCTGCATGTTGTAACGCACAGCAAATCAGCAAATGACCAAACACTGAGTGTGGAACATCCAATTTTTGAAAAATGTGTATTTCACAACTGTATTATCTGAAGCATCATATATCAGTTGGTTTTTATGACATCAACCTCATGTTCTCCATTGCAGGTCAATTCCTGCTAGAGGAATCCCGTCTGATCGAAGCAGCTGAGATGGCAAAGAAGGCAGCTGAACTTGATAATACAGAATTTGATGTTGTTTTCAACGCTGCCCATATGCTCAGGTTAGTGTGTTTAAATCTAACTTGATTTTCTCTTCTGTTTTGGAGGAAGAACTTTTTACAGTCTTTGCTTGTATAGAGTTTGTTGTTTTTTTTAAAGCCCAGCAACTGTTGTCAATAATTCAATATTGCTGATAAAAAGAACTTGAATGAAACTGTTGCAGAATTTAGTACTATCTCTTTCTAGTTTCCTGAGTGCTTATAATTTAGTACTTTTAAAATTTCTGTTATTCACAAGCAGATCATTATTTTTCTTACACAGAAGAACAATTGGTTTATTTTGTGAAGAACATTCTCCAGACTTTTCTTTCATCTGGTCTTTAAAGTTTTTAGAATACAAAGCAACTGCAAAGAATAGATTGAATCTGATCTGGATTTAACTAGAGAGTACTGGAAGTGACACATTTTTTGCTACTATCAACAGGGAACACTATGATGGTTTGAAATCTAAATATCCTCAAGGTAATGCTTGAGGATACTTGAAGCTACACAAGAGGAATTAATATTATCAATATATTTGATTCAATATATAGTCTTAGATTTAATTATATATTTATATATAATTATATATATTATATATATTATATTTATATGATTATATAGTCTTATATTTAATTATGTTCTCTTTCTGAAATTAATAAGATGTTAGACTTTTTCCTTTCCTTTAGAAGGAATTTTTTTTCCTTTTAAAGATGGCAGATTCAGTAACATTGAGCTTCTGCCTGCACATTATCATTAATCTCATATTACTGTAATAGGTATTCTCCATACTTGTTTTTAGGATAACTATTATCTATTGTGTGCTTGACAGGTGTGAGAATACTTAATTTCATTTAGATTGTATCTGTGCTTAGAAAATATATGAGAAAGGAAATAAAAAACGTACTTAATCAGCACAAAACTGTTATTTAGGTTATTTCTCTTATGAAGATGTGTTGCTTGGCTGTAATTTTACTATTCAAGACAGTAAACAAAAGAAAATGAAAATTATATTAAAACAGAGGTAGAATCAGCTTCAGCCGAGTGGCCTGTGTTTCAAAGAGAGGTTTCTATACCTCTTCTATTACCTCTATACCTTGAATATTTCTATAGGATTTTGAAATAAGGGCTATTTGATCTTGTTAGGTCTGTATACTTGTAGGTTTCAACCAGTATTTTGCTGAGGGATTCTGAACAGCATTCTCTATTTTAAATATTTAAGCAGAATTAAAAACCTGAAAATGGCAACAACAAAATAGTCTCTAAACCAAAACTCTAAAAAAACCCCACCACCACCAAGAAAAAAAGCCCTGATAGTTTAGCTTAGCTAGAATCCTTTTGTGCCCACTTGGGATGTCTAGTTGGTCTAATTTTTTCATTTAAATATACAGCTTTCTTTGTGGAAGACTGTAATGTCCTCTTAATATGCTCTTGGAGTCTCAGCTGGTGTGGATGATATAGCAAGGTTCAGCATGGCAAAGTCAAATTGAATGCTGCCAAGTATTTCCTTAAAACCACAGGCATTATGATTTGATTCATTTTTGCTGCCCATCTTGTTTTATTGCTATGCTTAGCAATTTATTCAATATATTACTTACATAATAGAAATTAGGCAAAGAGATTGTCTATTGGGTCAAAGCAACTACTCTGGGACAAAGCAACTGCAATTCCATTATGAGTCTGGAGGACTCATAATGGTTTTCAGAATACTTTGAATGAAGGAGAGCTGAGGTGATTCCAAGTAGAAAGCAGTACCAAAATACAAATTAGTAAGAAGAGAAACAAATACTCAGAGTGGCATGGAGTAAGAAAACTAGAAACTATGGTACCGATGAATGCTAAGGAGAATCATAAAAGAAAAGCTGAAATTAGTAAATATAACAGTTTCGTGTAGGCAAGTAACTGCTATTGAGGTACCTCAGCTATAAAATCTGTTTGGTTAGATTCTGAGTGGACTGCATGTCTTTGAGGTAGAAAATATAGAAGTTCAGAAGGCATGGAAGTGAACTACCCTAAGAGAGAAGTGATATGCTTTAGAAATGTATTCAATATAAATGTATTTAGAAATGAATTATGGATTAAGAACAGCTACTTCAGATGAAGGATGATAACAGAATTCCTTAAATTTCAATTTACTTTGTACTCCACTAATTACCGAATTTTGAATATTCTGAACAAGGGATAGACTGATCTTTACTTTTTTCTTTTTTTTCCCCCAAAATTTGCATAGTAGTTGTCTGTAAAATTTGTTTTCTTGGCAAATTTGTTCTTCAAACAGCTTAATTCCAGGGCTATATAGCTGTTGTGGAGGTGATCCTTAATATAGTAACTGGTCCCGTGTTTTACTTTCGAAGTATTTGTTATGTTTATAGCCTCTATTTGAAGCTTTTCAGCAAAACTAGATACATTGTAATGGAATGTATTGAAGCATGTATTGGAAATGTCTTATGTTGGCTGGAGCTTCAGTGATCGTGTATTGACAGTGCTAAGTTTCAGTTGAAGGTCAGCTTCTGTAAGATCCTTTCCTGTGAACTAAGGATGATTGCCTTTAGAATGAGGAATGGGACTGTAGTGAAAGCACCATACTAAGTAGAAACAGGAAGAAGTGCTGTGTCATAAATTTCAATTTACGTGCCTTGTAGCAAGTACTGAAATTTGCAAATATGAGAATTTTTTTTTTCCCAGTAGTTTCAGGAGCTTCCTGTGCCTAGCAGGAGTGATTCAGAAGCATGTTGAATGAATATTTTCAGATATTCAACTGTTTCTAACCGTGATAACCACTATGTTGATGCATGTGTAAAGTAATTTAGAACAGTTCACAGGTATCAACTGGGTTCTACTCAGCGCATAGTCAGAAAGTGGTTTCAGCTTGCATGTGAATTATTAAGAAACTTCAAAGAGTTTATCCATCCTCCCTTTTTCCTCCCAGGACCAATTGCTGTCTGTCAAGATGTGTTGATTGAAATTGCCTGTTATGTGTAGTGTGACTATGTTTAAAATTTGGGTGGATGGGAATGTAAAATCAAAACACAATGTAATCACTGAAACATGTAAAACCTCATATGTAACAAACATGGTAAAATCTCCAGGTATGAGTGCTCTATGACTGATACTCTTTGGAGTGTTCTTGGAAGGTGAAGAAAAAGGGGGAAAAAAAGAAGAAAAACCTACCCCTGTCTGTGTTGTATTTGTTTTCTGGTTTTTCACTTGTATCGTAGAAATGCATCTATAATCATGTAACACCCACAAATACCCTGAAGAACTCCTGTCCTAGGACAGGTAACTTGTCATGCAAAAATTACATATATGTATGTGAGTGTGTGTGTGTATGTTTTTCCCACCCACGATACCATGATGGCTTCATTATTGTGATAGAACAATAGCAGAAGATACCTATCTTGCCTGACTGGTCATTTCTAAATATTTGTCATCTTTCTTAAGATGTGGAAGACATTGGGCCAGTGGCCACGATGATTATTTGGAGGGAAATTAAGAAGCTGGAGACAAAAGAAGAAGAAATGAGTTTGAAGGAAAAGATTAAAAGGGCCCACTGTGACCAAAAAAAAAAAAAAAAGAGGGAATGAAGATGTAATAATTTAAGTTATAGGAGAATGTAGTTGTTGTCTGTGTGAAAGGAAGAAGAACAAAGGTGGGCTAATAGTACTTCAGGAACCATGAAGCTCAGTCCCATGGGTTATGTGTTCTAAGTTAAAAAACCCCTCTTGGTGTGAGTAGTTGCCAAAATGAGAACTCTAATGTAAATTATTTCCCTGAATCAAGGAAACTGATTTTTAAGAAATCATTGTATTCTCTGTTTTCTTTCTTTTAATTGGATAACAGTGCACACAGAAATAAACTGTACTACTGTATAACATATTGCTTAATAATTTGCTGTTAAAGTATGGCTAATTACAAAAACGTGCTAAATATTCATCTGATGAAGACTGGTACATGTGTGTTTCTGCCTCAGATGAGTATTTGGCTTTCTGCAGTACTCTTCAGTGTGCACTAATACCTTTTCAGAGCGAAGAAGAAAATAAGGCACAAAAATGTTTGTAATGGATATTCTGAAATGCAATCTAAAAGATTTCCATATTTCATGCATTTGTTATGGTAATATCCTTAAGTAGTGGGAAATGGTTGCAGTATTTTTTTTAAGTGTGCTTTTGTATATGGAAAAAAAGGTGTCATTATGTTGTTTTTTTCTGTCTTGATAGACAAGCCAGTCTTAATGAAGAAGCTGAGAAGTACTATGAACTGGCAGCAGGATTAAGACCTAATGTAAGTACCTTCTTAATGATATCCATTACTTAAACTGATGAATGTTCTGTAGTGCAAAACTGTTTGTGCTGAGGAGAGACTTCTTGCTGATGTTTGATCTCTTGGCCTGTATCATACATACTTTTTTAGTGGTTAATTATAGGGTAGTCAGATAAAGCCATTCATTTGTTAGAACAATCACCACACTCCCATTTTATTCTAACATCAGGTCATACTTGGCCAACATGTTTTAAAATATAGATTTAGATTTCTTTGTCTATTTTTAAATGTGTTAAGTTTGGAAAGCTCTCCTAATTTCATCTAATAAAAGGACAATGAAAGGCTATTTTGTGATTATTAAAGGCATTTTAAATAATAATTTAAGACTTTTCCTCTTTCTGAACTTCTGGCAAAATATTGTTGTTCAACAAACAATTTTTTTACTTTAGAGATAGTTCCTCTAAGATTGAAGTACAAAAGCAAATAAGTGTTTATTCATTGAAGTGGAAATGTGTAAGAATGTGTAAATGCTCTTTTTTAGAAAACAAAAATAAAAGCTCATTACCTTTTTTATTGTATTAGGAACTAAGGGAATAAAATATTTTCATTTTAACACTTCATTGTTATATTCCTTTTCAATTACCTTCATGCTTTGGAAAAAAAACACCAATCGTGGATATAAGGGACAGAATTTATTTTTAAAACCTCATGCCTTGCATATGTAATAAATGAAATATAGAACACATTCTTGTCATAGAAGTCTATAGTACTTAATTTGAAATTGTGTTAGCAATTTCAGTTAAAAAAAAAAAAAAAAAAAGTCTTAAAACTATAGAATTTTCAGGTCTAAAGATAACCTTCCACCAAGTCCTAAGTTGAACCCTAAGTTGGTGATCCATTTCTCTGTTACAACTTCCTTGTTATTCACTGTACCAAGACACCTAAATTATCAGTTATTTAGAATTAGATCAGCACCTAGGTACTGATAGATAACTAGTGCAGCCTGAAACAATACTCAGATTTACAATTTCTTGTATCTGAGTATCTATTTCTTTGCAAATATTGCATATTCTTTAATATCTAATATCACTCATATCTCTACTATGAAATATTAGCCTTAGTAGCAGTGAGAGTAGCTACAAACTCTTCAGTGTTTTACTGCTAGTAAGGGAATTCAGATTCTCATCTGAACCTTCATGAAACAAATTTAGTGTCAGCATTCTAACTCTGGGGCTGTGTCCTGTTAGTTGTCACAGTGAGGTCCTAGCACATCCCAGATGCTTCAACTTCAAAACACCCACAGTAGCTCTGGGGACTAAACTGCACACATACAGGAAATGAAGCTGCGGTATGGCGAAGTACAGAGACTACCATGTGATACTGACCTCATTCTGGTCCATGTTTTATTGTAAATAATTTCCTGAGTTATGACTTTCAGAACTAACGAGTTGGCCATTTCATTGTTGGTTTTTTTTTTTTTTGTTTTGGTTTTGGTTTTGGTTTTTAATTTTTTCCCAGACAGCAGAATCTCCATTGTTGCATTTGTCTCCTCAGCAAGCTTTCCACTATTTCAGTGTCTCAAGACTGGGGTACAGTGGCAACTAATATGCCTGTGTCTGGATCGTTTTCTCATTCAGTCAATCCATTTTTGTAGAACTTGTGACTAAGGAGGCTAAAAAAAACCTAAATAAAAAACCACACAGCAGTCTGTAGTTACAGGAGAAATGAAAATTCTCTGGAACATGCAAACCATTGTTTTTAAGAAAGCAAATATGGATTATATTTTTGTTGTGTTGGTGGTGATTCATTCACCATTGAATTAATTCTGATAAGTTTTAAAGATATTGAAAAGCTGTATTACAGTGAGTTATGTATTTGAAAAAAGGTTATGCATAGTAAAGGAACTACTGAAAACAGCACAGATGAGTTATTACTATATATATATTCATTTGAACATCTTTGCTTTTGGTTACTCCATTCTGCAGAGTGTAAAAGAATTATAGCACTTCAGTATAGCAGCAGCAGCAGCAGCTGAGATTAAGCTTGGCTAAAAAAGAAAAAAAAGGTAATCTGACTGTAGTTATTCTGGATTTAGATCCAATTGTTCTCAAAAATTTTCACGATTGGCTGTATTTACATTAGATAAGTATTTATCTTCTTTGAAAGCATCCAGTCAAATTTTAGAAGAGCAATACTTTCCATGGAATACAATACTTCTGTGGAGATGGGAATTTTTTTTTTATTTTTTTATTTTTTTTTTGAACTTCAGTGAAAAGGCAAGCATTTTCAAGATTGTTTATTTATTTCCAAGCAGACTTTACAGAGCTGGCTTTCCCCTGGAGAGCCAAAGAGGAGAGGTATCTAGGAAGCAGTTCAGAGAAGTCTACTCTTATTTGCTATGAATAATTTCTTACAGGACTCATTTTTCTTCCTTCAACTCTATAGGTAACCTACAGAGATTATTTTCCCTAGTCCCTGGACCTTTTAAAATATTTTCTGAAAAATGTATACCCACAGTGCTGTCAAAACAAAATCATTTTAGGGCCTTCTTAATAAAAAGCACATACGTGTTCATTCTAACAGTGTTGCTTGGATGGATGTTAATCACATTAGTCTAATTTTAACAAATACAATTGCATGAAGAAATGAAAGTGCAGGTTTCTTGGATAGACAGACATTTCTGCAATAAGTATTTTGAGTGGGAATATTGTTGAGGAAAGTCTGTATTCACAGATGGTTTCTAGGTGCCCTATGTCTTGTAATGTTCATATATCAGAAAATTGTTTTAATGAGTTGTTAGGCACACTGAAATGTGAGCCTTAAGCTCACTTTGTTGTGGAAAAATCAGTCATCCAGAAACTGTTTTTAAACTATCATTCTTTACAAAAAAAGTGAGTTATTGATGTAAGCTTCGGGTTTTATTGAACTTGTAAGACATCCTTTGTGTAATGGAAATGCATTTCTAATTTTTTAAGTCCGAACTTGAAGCAAGCAATCTTTAAAAATCTGCTCTAGAACCCCCACATATGGCCAGTGGCTCTTTAGAAAAAAGAGCACTTTGAAGTGTGACCTCAAAAGCATTAAATGAAAGAGAGCTCACTAAAGCTTTAAGACTTTGAGCCACCACCTTGAGCTGATTGGCTTAGAAGCATTCCTCAAGGAGTTGCCATGACCTGCAAGTCACTACCATCCCAACCACATATTAGTGCTGCTTGCAATCTGGAGCTCATGACAGCTTTAAGCCCCATATCATCGACACATTGTCAGAAACAGCTGTTTCCACTCTACCACTTCAAAAGGGTTTGATTAAATGTCTTACTGTAACAACATATATAAAGACACACACACAGAATGAAGGGGAAAGGAGAAATGTACTTGTAAGCAAAATAAATATAATTTCCACTAGATGGTTTAATCATAGTGTGGAGGATTAAACTATTTCTTGATTTGAAGGGTTTATGTAATCAGTTAACACAATATCATATTAAAAAGCAGTTTCTACAAGTGCTTCTTTTGGTTTTGCCCTAGCATTAGAATACAGATTTTGTGTCAAAGTCTCCAGGCTTACACTAAGCTGTCCAACAGCTAAAAGAAGAACACTAGTGATTTTCAGATAATTGAGTATATTTTTATAGCTTTCTTCTAGATAAAATGCTTTTGGTTCCTTTGTATGTATGTATGCTTTGTATTCGTGGCAAGGTCTCAAAAAATGAATATATTTCCTACAGTATATACATTTTTAAAAAATAAAGTAGATGTCGGATTTTATGTTGAAACATATGTGACCAAATTCTGCTTTATCGTGATTTTTTTTTTTTAGATGTTTCAGTGTCAAATTTCCCCATGTATCTTCCTCCTAAATGTTTAATTATTCGCTCTTTTAGCTCGGGTAAATGTGAAAGAGATGGCCTTAACACATTTTGCCATCATTGTTAAAGGCATATCCTATTTTCACAGGAGAATTTTCATGAAGCTTGTAAGAGCTCCTGCTATGTTAATTCTGCTGCTGATGGAAGATAGATTGTTTACAAGTGATTCTTGAGCAGTCTGCAGCTGATCCTCAACTGAGGAAAAACTAGCACAGTTCCACACTTCGCAAGATCCAATCTTCTGCTCATACTACTTCACAGATACTGTGAATCCCCTACCAGTGATGTATCCTGTTGTTCCTCGGTCATCTACAGAAACTGTGCATATTTCATTTCTATACCATGTATCATTACCTTTCAAGCATAGAAATGCAGAATGACTTAGGTTGGAAGAGACTTTAAATATAACCTAGTTCCAACCCCTCAACATGAACAGGGATGCCTCCCACAAGATCAGGTTACTTGAAGCTCCATCTAACCTGGACTTGAAAAATTCCAGAGATGGGGCATCCGCAGCTTTTCTGGACAATCTATTCCAGTGTCTTGCAGCGTCTGAGGCACAGATCAGATGTGAACAACCCAAACCGTTTATTGCAGGTTCAAACATCCCTTGTTTACATTCACAATTTTTCTCTTGTAACTTTCCCACCTGCCTTTACATGTCAACAGAACATTCCACAAACACTCCTTAACCTGGCGTGCAGCGCTTATCCAATCTGAGTCATGAGTCATTCCAAGCCACGAACTCTTCCTCCAGTCAGGGTCATTATCATGCAGCCATCATGCAGCTTACTTGATCTTTGTTCTCTTCAGGAGGGGTCCTTTCTTCTCAGCATTCCTTTCTCATGCTGTTTATCTTGCTCTGCAGCTTCTGCTCTGAATATCCTTTCTTGAATCCCAACAGTGTCTCACCATTGTTGTAGTAAAGAATGTCTTCTTAAAGTCTCATCTAAATCTACCTTCTTTTATTTTAAAACCATTATCTCCTGTCCTAACAAAACATCCCTGATGAAGAATCCTTTCCCATCTTTCCTGTAGTTCCCCTTTAGGTACTTGAAGGATGTTATAAGGTCTCTCTGGCATCTTCTCCTCTACAGACTAAACAATTTTATCACCCTCATCCTTTCTTTACAGGAGAGGTGCTCCAGGCCT